AGCCAACGACAATTTAGACAGACCTTTTCTACAACCACTGTAAATTGGCTCATTCGCAGCTTCTAACATTTCGTAAAACTTTTTTGCATCTAAGTTAGGTTCTTCAACTTCATCATCATCATGACTTACAAATGCATCACCTACCATATCATGAACCCTATCACAATCTACCATTTGTTCCTCTTGGTGATGATAGCTATAACTACTGCTACCTTCATTACGCAAANCACAATCTACCATTTGTTCCTCTTGGTGATGATAGCTATAACTACTGCTACCTTCATTACGCAAATGATCAACCGGTTCAACCTGATTACTACTGCTACCTTCATTCCTACAACTAGCATCTTCTCCATGTTGATACCAAATATAATAATATGGCATGAAACCTCTATTTACTAAATGCTTCCAAACATTTTCATGAGGTCCTAATTTGGTATTGCAACATTTCCGACAAGGACAGAACATCTTACCACTTTCCTGCGTGAGTGGTGTAGAATCTGCTTGATGCATAAACGTCTCCAACCCTTCGAGAAATTCTTTCGTCACCCTCCTGTTATTATCTCTGTGTGAATACATCCACTTCCGCAACTCGAAAATACTTCCCGGACCGGACATCTTTTTTTTTGTTTGATTAAGCTTATAGCTGATTTTTTTTGGGTGTGTTTCAAATGAATCACATATGGTGGTATTTATAGAAATTTTCGAATCTGAGCATTTACTAGGAAATTGCTAGGAGAAGTAGGTACAAAATACGTTTTTGATTAATATTCGATATTTTCTATCCATTTCCTCTTAATTTCGTAGTAACAAATCTTTTCCTCCTAATTTCGTAGTAAAGAATTACTAGGAATTTACGAGGAAAAGTTTTACTATGCTTTTACGAGGAAAATGTTATTTTCCTCGTAAGGGCTTCGTAAGTTTACTTCGAGTTTACGAGGAAACTCTTTTCTCGTAAGTTTACGAGAACTTTACGAGGAAAAGAGGTTTCCTCGTAAACTCGAAGTAAATTCGTAGTATTTTTACGAGGAAATATTTTCCTAGTAAACTTTCCTAGTAATGCCTTAGTTTTCTTGTAGTGTTGGGGAGTGGGGCTATGGGGATAAAAGTTCAATTTTTGAAAAATAAATTTTTTAAAAAAATTTCAAAAGATAAAATGCTATTTTGGTCATTTTAGTTTTTGAAGACTATTTTGTGACATAAATTTAGAAATGTGCTATTTTGGAGATTTGTCCGTTTTTTTTTATAATTAGTCGAGGGAAAAATTGCATAAAAAATCATGAAGTTGGCAAAAGTTTGCATTTTAAACTTTGGGGCTCAACTGCTAACACTTTAAACATGAAACATTTAACAATAACATTGATATCTTGCATATTTGCATTGTTTTACCCATTCATCCATGAGCATTATCATCATATAGATTAGGATTTAGCCATGTCTAGGTTGCATTTTGCATTCATTGTCCTTATTAGGTGTTGGAATGTGTCATGGAGTGATTTGAGATGTTTAGGAGCATTGTGATCCAAAAGGGGCTGAAAGATGAGCATGGATGGAGCTTTTAAAGAAATATTATATTGCTACGATTTTGTGGAGACACAGCAAATTGAGTTAGCTTTCTAAGCTTTTAACATCCTATACCAGGGACACTTGTTGTTAAAGGTGTTAAGATGGCTAGTAGACTTATTCTTAATGATTGCTTTCACAATATTCAACCGAAGACATTTGATGCTTGAGTTGTGTTAGTAAATGAACATTCATCTAGACATAGAGCTTGTTTAGAATTGTGTCTAGGCTTAAGGTTGATAGTTTAATTGATTACTTGCCATCCTTAGTCCAAAACTTGATCACCCAAGGTCTAATCCCAATACCCATGAGTTCTCCTTTCTCTTAATCAAAGAAGTTATTTTAATTATCGCTTTTCTTATTCTTAGTTATAGTTTAGAACCATCAATTATTCGATTGCACTTAGATTACACTAGTACTTGCATTCTCAGTGCTTTAAAATCCCTCAGAACTGGTTTGACAATCCCTTATACTACAACATTTGTCTAAGGAACCTTGAAAACTCCTAACATCAAACATATTAAACATCGAACTAACTTACTTGTTGCACACGTTAAAATTGTGACCTATTACAGTTCATTAGCAGGTAAAAAACGGTGACGTGGCGGTTTACTTAAAGAAAATAATTAATAAAAATAAAAAATTTAGATAAAAAACTAATATATATTCTAAAATTGATATAATTCAGGAAAAATAAACAATTTTTTTTTTAAAGTTATAAATTCAAAAGTTTATAGTAAAAAATAGTGAAAATCTCTTAAAACTAACAAAGTAGTAAAAATAATAAAAACAAAGAGAAATTAGAAATTGAAAAAGTGTAAAAATCGATAAAAAATAGAAAATAGTAAATTCATAAAAATCTGGAAAACAAATAAAAATTCAAATATCAAAAAATTAATAATTGAAAATGAAAAGTACTTGACCCAAACCTCTTTGGTTTAAGTAGACATATAAGCTTTCGGATGTCCAGGTTCAGATCCTAGAGATTTGAATTCAAAAAGTTTGCCAACGTCATTGTTTTTGCCAATTTTGCCACTTTCATGGTTTTTTTTCCAGATTTTTTTTCTAATTTTTAATCAATTTGTATAATTTTTTTTTTTCATTATTATTTTTTGAATTTATAAAAAAAATTTATCTTTATTAACTTTCATTTTCAGTATTTTAATTTTTAGAATTTTTGAATTTTTTTTCTTGATTTTATTAAATTTTCCTAATTTTTATCGATCTTTTTAAGTTTTTTTTTTTTTTAATTTTTGAAGTTTTATTTGTTTTCCAAATTTTTATATTTCAGATTTTCTAGTGTTTATCTATTTTCAAACTTTTTTATAATTTCTACTTTTTTGTTTTGATTTTTTACTACTTTGTTAGTTTTAATCAGTTTTTAATATTCATTTTTATTTTAAATTTTGAATTTTATTTATGTTCTTTATTTTTACTAAATTTATATCAATTTTTAGAATTTATATTAATTTTTTATCTAATTTTATTTGTTTTTATTAATTATTTTTATGTAAATCGCTACATCACCATCTTTTACCTGCTAACGAACAGTAACCGGTCACAATTTTGACGTGTGCAACAAGTAAGTTAGTTCGATATTTAATATGTTACTAGGATAAGACCCGCGCCTTTGCGCGGGATGAATTTATTATTTTAATTATGTTTTGGAAAATGAAACAAAAGTTTTGTTTCATCTAGATTAAAAATGTTCAATCTGTATATTGGGTTTCAGTATTTTGGTTATTAAAATATAACTACTGTTCTAAATACATATTTACTTCAGTTTGATTTGATTTATATATTGGTTTTCAGTTTATTCAATTTTATACCAAAATACATCATTATTTAGTTTGAAATCATATTGTATCTTATAAAAATAAATAATATGATCATATTTAGAGTCATGTTGTCAAAAAGTCATTTACTAAAAAAATATTATATATTTAACTAAAAGAATAAAAAACAAAAAAGGCTTCTATGATCTAATAAAATGATCAAATCTAGAATTAATATCAAATCGCTAAATTTTGAAAATAAAAATAAAAACAAAGCAGAAGCATGAAAGAAAAGTTTTTATATTCTTCCATATTTAGTGTTCATCAAATTAATATGTCTTCGATTGAACACAACTCTGTTTGTTTAAAGATTAAAAAAAATGTAAAGAATTTCATCTAATTGTTGTCCATCAAATTTATAATTTTTACTTCAATTTAGTTTTTATTAAAAAAAAGAAAAAAAAGATAAAAAAAAAAGACGAAGAAAATAAGAAGCCTCAGTTGCATTAAATTGTTAGTTAATTATATTTCAAGTGATTTACAAATCATAATTATAGTTCAACTCATGTAACAAATAGATATACATATTTACATGTTTCAGTTTAATCGATTATAAATCAAACCATATCCAAATCTTACGGTTTTTATAAAATCACATACATTCGGTTTGTATGGTATATACCAAAAATAACCATATTATCGATTGTGTTAATATCTTTAAAAGATAGAAAATTAAAAAAAAAGAACTAATATATTTAAATCATTGATAACAAAAATTTTCAATGTGAAAAATTTAATACGTTTATAATTTATAAATGTTCTTGAAAATTCATTGAAAATTTTGAAATTAAAATAAGTATGTAATCTTATATGGTATATAGTTTAATCTATATATATATATATATATATATATATATATATATTATTGAATGATACTTTTTACTCATATGGTTTTAAAATCATGTGTATCTTTTTATAATAAAAATGTTAAACTTGATCATTAATTTTTAACATAATAATTTTAATAGTTTAGTCATTTATTCTTGGTTTTTTAAATTTCAAAATATAGCATATACGAAAAAAATCTAAAGTTTAATTTTATAGCTAATTTGATTGTTTGATTTATTTTAATAATATAAAATTAAAGAAAAGTGATGGAGTAGATACAAATTTTTATCAAATATTTATTATTAGAAACATTAATTGTCATATATATATATATATATATATATATATATATATATTTGTCATTTATGGTAATTTCGTAGCTTTTATTTAAGGAAAGAAAATAAAATAGTAATTATATATAGCAGGACCATCATAAATGCTCATATCATAAATATCATATCATATAGTTTGACCAACAAATATATGTAGCGACATATAAAAATCGAATGTGGACCTACTTATTTTTCAATTGAATGTAATTGACTACCTAATTGAATGACACGTAAGCATGTGATCTTTTTTAATTATTACAAAATTGAGGTTACAATTTTTCAAATGTTTCTCAATTAGTATATAAGGGATTGGTATATGTTTCACTGTTTAAATGTTAGCAATTGAATCTGAAGGTTTAAATTGCAAATTTTTGTCAACTTAATAGTTTTTTATGCAATTTTTCCATTAGTTGAGACGGAAACATTATTCTTTATTTATATATATTAGAAGGGGTCGATGACCTTCTGCGCAACATAGAAATCAGGAAATAGCACAAGAGTCTAGCAATTTTTCACATACACCAACAAACAACACATAAAATAATACATAGATCCTGGATATATTTCTTAAGCAGTTTCAACTGCATCAGCCGAGCCCTTGGTGCATAAATTAGCACATGCGTTGGTGCATTGTACAACCGCTCCATCCACAATTTCACTTTCTTCTAATTCACCAAAACAATATATTGGAATTAATATATTATTCTCTTATTCCAACAGTCTAATTAATTATAATAATTATGAGCTTTTGCTATACCGGAGTTCTTGAGAGTGGTTAAAGCACCGCACACAGAGGATGCACACCCCAACTTGCAGTATTCATTGACAGCATCACCTTGAGTCAAAAGTTTTTCTTTTTTGATCCAACTTGTAAAAGATATAACTTAATAAAACCACCACGAAAAAGAAATTAAATTACCAGACTTTTCAGGAACCTCAGCTGGATATGGAAATTTACATGGATTTGTCTTACGAAAGGTGCGGCATCTAGTCATTTCTTCACAATTTGGCAAAACACGATGGCATTGTATATAATTTTCCACGCCAGCCTTGCTCATGCAACAAACCTTTGCTTTGACTTGATTCTGCGCCATGAGAAGACTCATTATGAGCAAACTTAAAATCACAGTTTTGCCCTCCATATTACTTGTTTGGTCAAAAAATGTACTTAGAAGGTATAAACTTGTATTGATGAAATGGTGATGAAACAAGACTCGCTTAAATACTAGTTCTACAGTGTTCTACAGTGGACCACCACAAACATCCTTTCATACATTTTATTTGAACCTAATAAATTGATAGAAGCAACGTGTTTTCGCGCTGAGACATAAATATCAAGGAATAGGAGATTAAAATAATTAAAACCAAGTGCGTCATACAAATCCGATCCGACGTAGGGAAATCCTAATAAATTGACAGAAGCAACGTGTTTTTGGTTTCTTGCTTTTAATTTAGTGAGGGAATTTTGAAATAGTAGTTTAGGCATAAATAGATTGAAATAATTAAAACCAAGTGCGAGATACGAATCCAAGTTAATAAATTGACAGAAAAGAAGACGTGTCAACGCAACGTGTTTTTGGTTTTTAGCTTAGTTCAAAATCCAGAATAAAAAGACAAACCTGGTTGGTGTTTGCGGTAACAACATTAACAGTGAATCCAGCTTGGGGAATGCCACTCATTTCACAATTCTCTAGTTGTGGAGCTGACTAGTCTAACAGAATTTGAAGTAACCTGATCCAGGGGAGGCAGCAGTAGAGGAGAGACCAGACAAGTATTTCAAATAGGGATTAAACTATAATAGCTAGTAAATAAACAAGAAAAAAGAACCTTGCCTGTACAAGCTGATTGTACACAGCATCATAAGGTGTGCACTTGATAGAACCATGATATAAGAGCCCAATAAGGAACGAATATATTGATGTTTATTAGTGAACCCTCTTCAGCATATAATAACCGTTAAATCTATCCCAATAACATGTTGAATCTAGCTTGCTTTGAAAACCCTAAAACTCCAGCTACCATACCAAAAAGAAACCATGAGATTGAGTGAGTGGGTTTCTAAGCTGTCACCACGTAATTCCACGAGCTCATCTTCCTCGGAAGGCTTTCCCGCCTCTAATTCGACCGAAGCTTCTTGATTTCTCTAACAAACTTTGGGGATTTATTAAAAAAAAAAAAAAAAAATTTGGGGACAAGAGAGAAGGCGGAGAACGAAGTGCAGAAGCCGGAAAACCAGATCGACTTAAACGATATAAGAAAGACGGAGTTAAGGAAAGAAACAAATATATGTATTTATATTTATATTATAAATTTATATAACGTAATCTTTGATAATCAATTGTTTTAACAAAAAAAATTATATTAATTCATTTAAATTTAAGATGTTTGATTGTTTATTTGGTAATAAATATTATATTAGGTAACACTATGATTAGTTTCCTTTTAAAACCTTGATTTAAATTAATAAAAATTCAAATACCAACAACCAATCAATTTAAATAAACTTTGATTGGTTGTTGGTATTTGAATTTTCATTTATTTAAATCAAGGTTTAAAAAGGAAACTAATCATAGTGTTACCTAATATAATATTTGTTACCAAATAAACAATCAAACATCTTAAATTTAAATGAATTAATATAATTTTTTTGTTAAAACAATTGATTATCAAAGATTACGTTATATAAATTTATAATATAAATATAAATACATATGATACTACATAAATAATTATATAAACGGTTTTTAAAATATTATATTTATGGTGTATACAATAAATCATAGATTACAGAAAATTAATAAATAGAACTAATAATATTTCTACTCACTATATACATATATTATAAAAATGTGTCAAATGAATGAAAACAATAAAATATATAATTTTAATAAATTTCAATCATTGTAATTGATAATGTGATATTATAGTGAGTTATCATTTTTATAAATGATTAGAGTATTTTTTATATTTAAAATATCATATTCTCATCCTACTATATATTAAATGAGAAGTCACTTAGTGGCTCCATAACCAGATAAAATAGATTGTCCAAGACGGCTCGAGCTTTCTATAAAATTTTGTTTTTATTGGTTGTTCTATTCCGGTCTGAATTCTTCGACCATCTCAAGTTTGAGTATTTGGATAATATTTTGATGTAAAAAAAAAAGAACATCAAAGTTCTAAGTGTATAATTCTGGTCACCGAGATTTATAATACAAATATCTCTCTCTTTTGATATATCAATTAAAAATAATAAAGGCAATGGTTAGACATACAAAAAAAATGTGTTTATTCTCTTATGCTAAAGACTTAAAAATCACTTAAATAAACATGACGTATCGAAGTTAAGATCATTCACTTGTGGATGAACTTTAACAAAAAAAACCAGAAAAAATCATTAAAATGATTTATTCGATAAGGAAGTGGATAGTTATTATTACTAATTTAAATTTTGAATGGAAAAGTCATTTTTACTAAGATTTGTTTTTCCTTAAATATATTTTGAATTGTAATGTTCTTCATAGCTGTTAATTCTATTAATTATTTGCATGGTACTTTATTTTATTATTTAACTGATCCACGAAAACTTTTGAATGTTCAAACATGTGACAAGAATTCATACTTCAATTGAATCAAATCTGATCAAAAATATGAAGACTGATCTAGACAACGGTCATGCATGGTCGTAATGTTATTGATATGATACTTAAAAGTTGATTTAGTAATTTAATATTTTGTTTTATGTTAAAAGTTATTTTTTCAATTTTATAAGATTATACAAAACAAGTTTTACTTTTTTACGTTGACAAATATGTGTGCTAATATTTAGTTATTTAATAATATAATGATATTATTACTATTTTTTCTATTTTATTTCTGAAAGTTTTTATTATTATTAACTTAATATGTTTATTAATTATTTACAATATTTAAATAAAAATAAAATAAAGCAGTCTATTTTAAAACTGACATATTTTTCTGCTTTATTAAAGTTGGTATTTAATCTTATTACGTAAAATTCACAAAATGTTATAAAAGATAAATATATTTATGGGTTTTTTTTTTGTGTAAAACTGAAAGAACCGAAATATATACCAAATCCAAACAAAGTCTATTTTAATATGGTAGTTTGTTTTATAAACCAAAATACCAAAAAAATCAAAAAAATCAAACCAAAACCGAACCAAAATTCAGATTGAACACCCTTATTACTAAATCATCTTTTTATGGATCTTTTGTTCTTAGAGAGTAGTTAATCAATAGAGATATCATTAATATTACTGAAGTATATGAACTAAATTTTTCATTGTCTTATCCATGCAACATGATAAGATTCTCTTTGCTAACTTTGTTAACTTTCCGATGAAGATTTTTGACATATTGTCATTTAGGAACTGGTTGCGATTTCCATTACTATTATGACTTTCAATGTATCAGTGATGAATATAGATTGAATTGTTAATAAGACAACAAAAAATAATGCCTACAAACAATGTTGATGTTGATATCCACTCTTTGTTTTTGTGCTCTACATGTGATCAAAGCATGCCAACGCTAATTTTTCCGATTTTTATTCCCGCACAAGGTGCGGGTAAGTCACCTAGTTTGCAATAATTGACATACCATTTAAGACAAGTAATTGATGGCAAAATAAGGTAATCAATATATCAACTTGCACACGTAATTGATAACAAAATAAGGCAAGTTATTAATAAACGGATTAACTAATTAAAAGCTTTTCCAACAAGGTATCTCTTTCCTAATACTATAATATGAGTATAAAATTAAAGAATAATAAATAGTTTCGATTTTGATATATTGTAAATCTATAGAAATATATAACACAATCCCATAGAAACCTGCAAAGAAAATGTGATAAAATTTTTAAATATAATCCATAAATAATATAAAATAAGAAGAACAGTTATGAATTAAAAATATCCCATAGAAACCTGCAAAAAATTGTCAAATTTTGTTAGCAACTGTACAATATAAAATAATTTAATAGATTTCTAAATCTTATTGAGAGGAAAATAATATTAAATTTGCATATCGTTATTGAAATAAACTGAATAATGGTTTGTAGTTAACTACGACCGGTCTTTCGTCTGTGTTATTTATCTGTTAATAGAAAAAACAAACAAATGTAAGAATTTATAAATTTAAATTTTTTATCGAATAAAAATAGACTAATAAGTTAATATTGACATCCCTTAGGTGTCTCTTTTATATATACTCTACCTTCCTTTTTTATTATGTTATTAAGGAGATATTTTCATAACAAATGGTGTTTAGGAATATAATTTCATAATAAATAATGAAACAGTTCAAAGAAAGATATTAAAGTTATATTGTCATTAAATGATTTACAATTAATATGTTATAAACTTGTTCAATTAAATCATATTCAAAATAAGGTAAGTTTTTAAAAATGAATTAACAAATTAGAAAAATTAAGGTAAATTGCATTGAAACAATGTAATAAATATGATTTGAAGTTGCACAAGTAATATGTCTTCAAAATAAGTTTATAAAGACGAATTAACAAATTAGAAACATTAAGGTAAATTGCATTAAAACAATGCAATAAATATAATTTGACGTTGCACAAGTAATATGTGTTCAAAATAAGGTAGGTTATTATTAATAAACTAAAAAAAAATAAGGTAAATTACATTTAAACTATAGATATTTAAATATTAAATGATATATAATAAGGAAAGAATAAATATAAAAAGTAGTTGATATAATTTTTTGATTTAATAAATATTACTATATATATTTAATTTTAATTAAAAAGATCATATAATTGCAAACCAAAAAATATATATCAATTTTAATTAAAAAGATCATAAAACAAAATCACAATCAACAAATCAAAGAAATATATAGGTATATATAAGCTTATAATTCTAAACAATAATATAAATCTACTAATAAAAAAAAAAGTATTGGCAGCACAAAAAGAAGATATTGAAATGATATAGCTGAGAGATGTTATCAAATAGAGAATTTTTTTTTTACCGGATTGAGGAACAAAGATGTTATCGAAATGATATATCAAAGAGGTGTACAATCAAATCATATATAGCTTCAGTGGAGAAATCGTCATAATAAGATATCTGCATATAAACCAAAAAAAAAAATCAGCTCTCATGAAATAAAAAAGCTTAATGTTCTAAAATAAGAAGAAAAAAAAATTCAGAACATTATTAACATAAAAAGTTCAGAATACAAAGTTCAATGATTTCATTTCCTCTACTGTGAATATCTTATTTATGGACGTTTCTCAATGATTTAGCTTGCATGATAAGCTAAGAAGTAACATATTTTCTAATAAATTTTCAATAAATCTTATACTTATAAGGTAATATTATTTTTAGAATATCTTGTTGATAAAGCTAAAGGAGAACATCTTGTGAATAGATTGCACCAGAATTTTGGTTTAAGTTTTAAATGCATGATTTTAGGAGAGAAAATATCTTACAATTAATTTTGTTTTAAATGCATGATTTTAAGAGTGAAAATATATTGTCAATTAATTTTGTTTCTCTGACATCTAAAATATTTAATGAGTATTTAATGAATTTGACAGAGAAAGGATCGCAAAAGGATGTTCTTTGAATCGAGAAAACACAAAAGGTAAGTATTTAAATGAATTTCCTTTTTAGTAGTGTCGATGGTAAAAATAAATAAACAAATAAATTCTAAAAAATCAACCAATAGAATCGCTAGAATTCTTCTGAGAAGGGAGAATGTACTTCTCTTTTAATAAATAGAGGGATCCTTCAATTCTTAAATAGCTTTTATGTAGTATTTTTAAAATTTGTTATATATTTTAGAAAAATATATTCTCTGTTTGCGACCTGCGATAATGTATCTAAATATTTTAAATATGAATGTTGTAATTTATTAGTAAACATATATTATTTAGTAATACTTAAATTCTGAAATAGCCTTTATGTAGTATTTAGTGAATTTTTAACATATTTTAGTATAATATGTATGTGTGTTTTTCTAACAATAATTATATAAAGGATAAGAAATTATTACTAATTTTTAACATATTTTAGTATAAAATAAAATATATGTGTGTGTTTTTCTTACCAGGACAAGAAATTACATAAAATTTAGATTTATGAAAATATATTATCGCAGGTTGAAAACCAAAATTATATTTTATACTAAATTTAAATATATATATATATATATATATATATGTATATGTACTTATGTACTAATGTTCTAAGGAGTTAGTATATTTAATTTATAATAATGTTCTAAAGAGTTAAATATATATATATATATATATACATATCGTTGAGAGTGTTTGGAAGCCTAGAATAAGTGGTTCTAGGTTAACTCTTCCCTGTCAATTTTAAAATAAATCAAAAAGAAATTAGGAAAAAGGAACCAATACAATTAAGAGAATTAATCCAAGAGTGTATTCTATGAATGCCACATAAGCAGAAATCACTAAAGTGACTTCTCTTTTAATGTATAGGGGGATATTCGCTCCGTAGTGAGACGAAACTGTACGAATATTGAGTCCCAGGATACAACTATGGCAGACAAATCACGTTTCACTCGTGAAACGACCTAACGAACTAAATTCTATGAACACTCTCTGAAAACTTATGCTGAGAGATTGCTAGATTTTTTCTGTGTAAAAAACGATACTGAATGAGAGAGGAGGAGAGGAGTATTTAAAGAAGAAACGAGAGTTCGAATTTCGTAACTGGCGGAGCACGTTAGCGAAATATTCTCGGAGATCTCGGGAGTGGACAGTTGAGAAACTTTCTCCGCAAGATTTTCTTCTTTGACTCGTTCTAATCTCCATGTCTTTTTTAAGACAAACATCATGTCGTTTACAAAAACATCATGCTGTTTTTTATTTAAAAACAGCAAGGCGTTGAGCTTAATTTGGTCCAAAAAGATAACTTCTTATCGGGCCAAAGGCCCTCCAATAAAGCCCAATCCCAAGCCCAAGCCCAAGCCCAAGCCCAAGCCCAAGCCCAAGCCCAAGCCCAAGCCCAAGCCCAAGCCCAAGCCCAAGCCCAAGCCCAAGACCAAGCCCAAGCCCAAGCCCACGCCCACGCCGAGCCGAGCCGGCCGGGAGGCGGCGGCGCGCGCGCTTGGGGAACCATCTCTCTCTCCAAGCTGTTTAATATATACTGCCCTCTGATGTTATTTCTGGCCGATGTGGGACAAAACCCAAAACTGGGTTTTTAGTTTTTGTCCACACCAACATACCAACTTCGAAGCTTCATTTCTTATTCAATTTTGATCTGTTTTTAAAGTGTGAATATACCACGTTGTAGTACTCGTTAAAAGCTTTACAACGAGCTGCTGATCTGACCGGAACGACCACTGGCTTGGCCGGAAAATCAGAAACTATCAGCTTTAAAAAAACAGAGTTCCAACACGAAGAACACTCACCCTTCGACGGTGACGCCCGGTTCGGTTTACTATCTACAATTACATGAATGGTTCGATTCGGTATACTTCAAATTTTTAAATCGGAAATAAACTAAACTGATACGATTTGAACTATTAAATCCAAAAAAAAAAACTTAGATCTGAGACAAAGTGGATGATTGGTTGTGGATAAACTAAATGAAAGACTAACCAATCAAAATTCGAAACCAGACTGAGCACCAAACGTAAAATCAACTAGATTTTTGATCTGTGCTTAAAAAATGCAGGTACTATTTTTATTGTTTATCTACAGATATATCGATAAGTTTCTTTGCTTTGATGATATAAAATTTTTTTGTCTAATATAACTTTCTAAAATTATTGTAGATTTTAATTTATTATTATTATTATTATTATCAATAGCTATGTAAATATATTATGTATATGTAACTGTGTAGTTTTATTTAGGAAAAATAATATCAATTAACTATGTTTGGTGCTGAGAAGCGGGTCAGGTCAAACTCCCCATGTCTGACCCACCTGACCCACAACGAAAATAAATTTTATCTGCATCCGCCCCACTTAATTTTGCGGATAATCCGCAGGATCTATAGATTATTATTATTAATAAAAATAATTATTTTTATTTATTTCTTAAAATAATATTAAATAGTATATTTTTAGTTGAATTTCTATTTTTTTAAAAATAATAATCATTTTAATGAAATTTAGTATATTTTGCAAAATAATTTTTTAAAAGAAAAAATTTCTATTTTTGCAAATTATTGGATACGCACAATTGAAATTAGAACAATCCGCATACGTCCCGCGTTAAATATATTTGACCTGCATCCTCACATTTATTCGCATTCGTAACTTAGTTTTTTCAAATATCGATTGATCCATTCCGTAGCGGATCGAATGGGACATGACCATTTGAGCTAATAATTAAAAGGTGAATTTGACCCATTAATAAAACTCATTAGTATATAGTTTTTAGATCCAGGATAAAAATACAAAATTACCATTAATAAAAAATAAATTTGTTCATAATATTAAAATATTTTTTAAAAACTTAAAAAAATCTAATTAAATGGAAAGATATTGTTTTAATGGTATTGATGGTCCGGTTATGGCATTTAGAATGTTCCCACTTAGTCTTCAGCTATTAAAGGCCCAAATTTCGCTGAATGAAATTACTAAATGGGCTCAGAATAGACAAGCCATTAATGGGCCGGTCCATCCGTGTCAGTCCGGGTCAGCCCGGGTTCTTGTAGAAAACCTAGGTTTTGTAACAAAAGCAAAGTGCAAGATTTTAAAGTTGTCAACGTTCCGACCAAACAAACAAAATCGTTTTATTTCTCTTCTTCTCTTTCTACTAAGCCGTCGCCGCTAAACCCTGAAGCTAAACCTTAAACCCTAATTCACCTCTTAGCTACAACAGAGAGAGAGAGAAGGATGAAGTACTCTAAAGGTGGAGGCGGCTTTAAGAGAGGCGGCAAGAAGGGTTCGAGCGATGTGGATCCCTTCTTCGAGCAAGAGACCAAGAAACGGAGGAAAGTCAGTTACGACGACGAAGACATCGAGTCTATTGACTCCGACGCCGACGAGAACGGGTTTGACGGCGAAGATAGGAAAGGAGCTGAAGAAGCTGCTGAGGAGGAGGAGGATGAGTTTGCGGATGAGACGGCGGGTGAGAAAAGGAAGAGGTTAGCTGAGGCGTTTCTGTTGCGAACAAGGGAAGCTCAGAGGAGGCAGCGTGAAGAACGTGATGATGATGATGATGATGAAGATGATGAGGATGTTGAAGATGGTGATATTGTTAAGACTTTGATGAAGAAGCAGCAGGAGGATAGTGGTAGGGTTCGAAGAGCTATTGCATCCAGGTAATGATGAAACTTTTGTTAATTAGGGGTTGATGGGTAGCTTGTGTTTTAGAGACTCAATTAGATTGTGTAGCAATATTAGTGATGTCTTACAATGTTCTAAAAATTGGTCTAGGAGACAAATCGGGTCTAAACAAGGACTAAACTGGTGTAAACAAAACTAGATTTAAAAAAAAAAAATCAGTTCAAAACTCATATTAATCCTTTAAAAAATGGCCTAAATACCGCGTAGCTATTTCTTGAACATTATGTTTTACCATTTGTTAGGTTTAAAGAATGGTTATACTGATAAAGTTGAAGTCTTTCATGATTCAGTGTTCAGTAGTGTTAGGTTTCGTATTATTATCAAGCAGAAGATAAGATATAATGAAGAAACTTTGTGAATTAGGGTTTATGGGTAGCTAGTTAGTGATTTTTGATCATTTGTTAGGTTATACTGATAAAAGGTTAAACCTTTTCTTTTGCATGATCCAGTGTTCAGGAGCCACTGAGTAGTGATGAGTTTCGTATTATTGTCAAGCACCGAAAATCTGTTGTATCTGTTGCTCTATCTGATGACGACACTAGAGGATTCTCAGCTTCCAAGGACGGTGCTATTGTCCATTGGGATGTATCTTCTGGCGAAAGTGAGAAATACAAATGGCCAAGTGATGAAGTTCTGAAGTCTCATGGGATGAAAGTGAGGGAGCCTCGTAGTAAAAAACACAGCAGAGAGTCTCTTGCTTTGGCTGTTAGCTCTGATGGTCGTTATTTGGCGACTGGTGGAGTTGATAGACATGTTCATATATGGGACGTTCGTACCAGAGAACATGTCCAGGTAAATGATAAAACCCTGTTTTGTTTTGTGGTTTCTTCCTTCAAGTCTCAAGCTTTTTGTAATTTTGTCTTTGCAGGCCTTTCCAGGTCACAGGAACACTGTTTCTTGTCTATGTTTCAGACACGGGACTTCAGAAGTCTATTCTGGTTCGTTTGATCGAAGTGTCAAGGCTTGGAATGTAGAAGATAAAGCTTTTGTGCAAGACAGTTTTGGACACCAGGATGAGATCCTAGCCATTGATGCGCTAAGGAAGGAGCGTGCACTTACGGTTGGAAGAGATCGAACCATGCTATTACACAAGGTAATAGACTGTGTTTTCTTTTTTTAGTCTTCCATGTGAACATCATCACATGGTTTCTATTTTTCTGTATTTGTAAGTCTTTGTTATATGATGGTAGTTGCCTGAGACAAGTCGTACGATCTACCGTGCACCTGCATCCTCTCTTGAGAGCTGCTGTTTCATTAGTGATACTGAGTACCTGTCTGGTTCGGACAACGGAACTGTTGCCCTTTGGGGCATGTTGAAAAAGAAACCGGTGTTTCTCCTCAAGAATGCACATTCCATTATATCTGATGGAATCCCCACTAATGGTAGATTCCTTTTCGTCTAGTCTCTGATGCAGTTGAATCTTTACACTGCCGCTCTGAAAGTTCTTTAATCTTTTCTCTTATTATTTTTTTTTTTATAAACAGAAAATGGTGATCATAGTCATGTGGAGTATAGCAACTCTTCCACAACGAGTTCTTGGGTCAGTTCAGTTGCTGTTTGCAGAGGTAGTGACCTTGCTGCATCTGGAGCTGGCAATGGCTTTGTGCATTTGATGGCTGTTGAAGCAAGTGCCCTTCGACCTTTATTCAAGCTTCCTCTTGTAAGATTTCTTTCCCTAGTGTTGTGTTGATTCATCTGTTGTTACCCTACAAACACTTAAGCCTCTGAGAAGCTCACTTGCATATGAGAAACGTTGTAATTCTAGTACAAAGAGTCACTTCACCGAGTAGTAATCTCACAATGGCTCTTTTATCATGTTACAGACTGGATTTGTGAACTCTATGGCTTTTGCAAAATCCGGTAAATTTCTGATTGCTGGTGTTGGACAGGTAATGTGATCATCTATCATCCTCTTCCCTTTTTCTGTTTTGTTTCTGTGAATACTAATCTTAGAACTGTTGTGTTTTGTGATATCAATATGGCAGGAGACGAGATTTGGAAGATGGGGATGCTTAAAGTCTGCGCAAAATGGCGTTGCAATACATCCTTTAAGGCTGTCATAAGGATTCTATTGGGGGTTAAAGAAGAGTACTTAATATTTTTGAATCTCAAGTTATGTAAGGACTCTACTAGTACAAGTCTTTTCAGCTCTTAAAGTTTTCTGTTTGTTTTTTGTACTCAATTTTTCTAATACAAGTGAGATAAGAACTTTAACGTTTTTTTGATGTTCTGATGAATCAAAGTGATAAGAATTACATCATTTATATATAAAGGATAACTATTAAACCAGCAAGAAACTGATTAGTAAAGCTATGAACAAATACCGAACAAGCTGGTATAATCCTCAATTCTCAATACCGATTAAACCGGTAAGGAACATTGGCATCATGATCAATCACAATGTCGCAAGTCGCTCCAGGTGCTTGTGGTCCAAAGATTCTCTCAACTGAGACTATTGGTGTTTTGTAAGGCCACTCCTTGGGTCTGTACAAGTTTAATGGAGTCTCTTTTGGGATCTTCAAGTTCTAGAGGAGTAACTGAGACTTTGGATCTGCTAGCTTGCTGAAGTGACATACATGTGGTGGACCGTTCTTTCAAACTTACTTTCCTAGATACCGAATCTAGTCTCAGAAGAGGACTCCATGACTTGTCAGTGAAGCTTATACTTTGCACCTGTGACATAAGCAAAGATCAACGTCTAAAGTTTGTAATATTTTTCGCTGCCTAGAAATTATGAACAACCATTGCAATGAAATTGAAAATAAAAACAAACCGCGAAGGAAATGTAAGGCTTCATTTTTTTTTTTTCTCATATCTTTATCTACATTTTAATCAAAACATATAAGAAAACATAGTGTTAGAGTAACAGAAACATAACCAAGGAGAGAGATAGAACATTCCCAAGGTTAATGTGCTATCGTTGACTTACTGAGATAACAAAATATAAATTAAGAAATATGGATCAATATGATTAGGGGTGATCACTTTACCTGATACCCGAACTCACCGAATCCAACCCGTAATATCCGAACTGAAATCCGAACCAAAATAGCAAAATACCCGAATAGGTATTGTGTTAGGAGATATCCAATCCGAATGAATATCCAAAGATAACCGAACATATGTATATATATATACATATTTTATTCTTAGTTTATTTCATTTCATTTTATTCAAAATATTTGTATTAATGTTGTATATAGCTTAAGATCAGATAATATATACATATAACTTAAAGAAAAAAGATTTGCTATTTATTTAAAATGCATATTAAGCTTTTTATTTTATGTGTTTAACAAAATTTGCATGAAAATTTGAAAATAACAACCAGACTAATGATTTTCTATTTTCAATAATTTATTTTTAAATTTAGTATTCGTTAACTTATGAAGTATTTAAAGCAATTAAGTTAATAGTAAAATTTTAAGTATATAAAACTTAAGTAATGAAGAACTTGAATTTTTTTTCTTTAAAAATCTAAATATCTGAAATCCGACCCGAAATAACCGAATCCAAACCTAAAATATCTGAATCCGATACTATATGTAAAATATTCAAACATGTTCTAGATCCCAATATTGAAATACTTAAGAATCCGAAATACCCGATCCGAACCCGAAGAGGTAACCGAACATCCATCCTAAAATATGATACAAGAACTCATGTAATAACCTGTATGAGAGCCACCCTTTTCAACATTTCCAGTAAATGTGTCAATCCAACAAACAAATAGTACACAAATACGTAAAAGAGAATATGATTTTACAAAGCAGTTTTCATCACACTTTGAATAAATGGAGACCATAAAGTCGCCGACTTTGGTGGGAATAATCTCATTTTTCTTAAATTGACAATTTGCTCTTATTTCTTCATTTTTAAAACAGAGAATTTTTTAAAAATAAAAGTAAAAGTCAGAGACTCAGAGAGCACGTATTCTTCATCATTTCTCAACCTCTCCTACCTTCCCAAAGATTGTAAGAACACCAAAATCTTTCTTATCTCTCTATTACAATTCCGTACGTGTGCTTTTGTTTCATCTGTAGATCATTCAATCCCTAATGTTCTGTCTTGTTCCTGGTTTTTCGTCCATAGAAATGTTCTTAAGCAATTTTGATAAGATCATTGTGTTTTTGGAAGTTTACAAAAAAATTGTTTACATTTAATCATTAATCAGTTTAATTCCCTTAAGAATCATTGCAACTTTTTTTGTGTTCGCATGTCAACAAATAATGTGTGTGATGGGTCATATACTCATATGTTTGTTTGTTAAATGTAGGGATCATTGTGTTGATGATTGTTATTTCTTAGAAGAGCAATGAGCAATTATGCAGCCGGACTCGGTAACTCTAGCTCAGGTATGAACAATATTGATTTGTGGGATTTTCATTTTTGTGAGGAAATTCTATAGATTTAAAAAAGTTTCTGGATTTTTATTCGTTATGACATCATTATTGTGATGAAATTCGATAGATGTAGAGCAATTTCTTTAGTTTTCCTGTTCTGTAGTTATGATGATAAAGGCTGCATAATTAAGAAAAAAAAGATGTTTAGGTTTCTGATGATAATGGTTGCGTGTTTAACAGGTAAAAGGAGAATAAGAGATCTTTTGAAACAACCTGATAACCGAGTCTGCGCTGATTGTTCCGCTCCTGATCCCAAATGGGCGTAAGTCAACCTTCCTCCTCCTCTTCCTTTCTAGTTTCAACGTTTTGCTATTGAAAGCTGCAAACTTTTCCAAGCCATTTGATCATCAATTAGCTTAAAATCTATAAGATTTTCACTTAATCATCACCAACAGCTACTACTAATACATGTTTTGTGATTTGGAGCAACATCCTTATGTTCTTGTATCGTTAGTTATGCTGCATCTTTGTGTCTTCTTTCTCAGATCAGCAAATATTGGAGTTTTCATTTGCTTGAAATGTTGCGGTGTGCACAGAAGTCTCGGCACTCATATCTCAAAGGTGATCATATATAACTTCTGTATGATGTCCTTTTATCTTTATTACTCTTTTTGTACTCATATATATAGTTTGGTTTGGTTTATGCAGGTCTTGTCTGTGACACTTGATGAATGGTCTGATGAGGAAGTCGACTCCATGATTGAAATTGGAGGAAATGCTTCTGCTAATTCTATTTACGAAGCTTTTGTACCTGAAGGAAGCTCTAAGCCTGGACCTGATGTTAGTCAGGACCAGCGTATGAGATTCATTAGGTAGTGATTCAAAAAGACAAGAAAAAAACTCTGTGACATGACAAATATATCCTTGTTTCTGATGAGTTGTCTTTTTGTTTAGGTCAAAATATGAACTCCAAGAGTTTCTAAAACCAAGCTTGCGGATTACATCAGGGAAATCTGGCTCAACAAAGAAACCATCTTTTCTTAAATCAAGTCTTTCTACAAAGTTCATGAATAGTTTTCGCGCAAATTCATCATCAAAGAAGATAGTAAAGTCTCGAACCTACAATCTTTTGCCAACAGTTTCTTCTTGATAAACTGACATTTATAAGTTTTGACAGTTTGAGGAAGGAATGGTAGAGTTTATTGGCTTGTTAAAGGTGACTGTCAAGAAAGGTACTAATTTAGCAATAAGAGATATGATGTCAAGTGATCCATATGTTGTCTTGAATCTAGGGAAGCAAGTAAGTGTATCTCTCTGTTTACTTTTTATTAACATGCATCACTTTTGTTGGATCTTATAATTATTTTTTATCTTCCGTTGATTGTTCAGAAACTTCAAACAACAGTTGTGAATAGTAACTTGAACCCGGTATGGAATCAAGAACTCATGCTTTCTGTTCCTGAAAGCTATGGTCCAGTGAAACTGGTAAAGCCTATCCTAAAGAAGATAAGATGTTTTTATTCTACATGCATCTTATGTGGTTGCTCTGTGATTGCAGCAAGTGTATGATTATGACACATTCTCTGCTGATGACATAATGGGAGAAGCTGAACTTGATATCCAACCTCTGATAACATCTGCAATGGCTTTTGGAGATCCTGAGATGTTTGGGGATATGCAGATTGGGAAATGGCTGAAGTCCCATGATAATCCGCTTATAGATGACAGCATCATTAACATTGTTGGTGGGAAAGTGAAGCAGGAGGTTCAGATCAAGCTTCAGAATGTAGAGTGTGGAGAGTTAGAGCTGGAAATGGAATGGCTTCCACTTGAACAATAATTTGTAATAGGTCCCACCATCTTATATGGAACGGTTACAATTTGATGTGTCTGTAACTCTGATTCCTCTCCACAGGAATCTTTGTTTGTGATATTTTGTTTTTTGACGGATGAAATTGAAAGAATGCTCTCTTTATATCGGCTTAAGTTTTTATGCTTTCATGGACAGGAGTCATCTGTTATAAGCTTCAATTTTTTCACTACAATAACTCAACTCATTACCAGAGAAAGCTAATAACTTCTGTTGATTAACTCGTATCTCCCAATCTACAAGAATCATCTTTCTCTTAAGCAACTCAAGCATGATAGACATCTAAGTGCGTTCTGTTGCTAACAAAGGCTTAATGGAACTTGAAGCTAATTTAAAAAACCACATGAATGTAAGCAAACGACTAACAAAGAGAATGAATTTCATTGGTAAGAGCCACTATTTAGCATCTGCAGCTAACAAGGGCATAATGAGACTTGAAGCTAATTTCGTAAATACAGACCAAAGAGAATGAAGTTCAAAGGGTCAGTGGAACAGTTCAGCTCTAATCCGTGGACTGGAAAGATAAATCAATAAGGACCGCTTAAGACAAGAACTCAAAAAACTACAGTATTAATCACCTGTTCCGGGAACTACACTATCAATCACCTCTCTGAGTCTGAGAATCTACACTATCATTAACCTGTGCGGGAAACTACACTATCAACGACCTGTTAGTGAATCTATAATATCAACCACCTGACTGAGAAACTAACATTATCAAGGGCATAAGGCTTTAAGCTATTTTCGAAAGCACATGTAACAAGTGAAAGACAATAACAAAGAGAAGAGAGAATGTAGTTCCCCCTTAACTAAACCAAGAACCCTGTCAATGGTCATGGCAACAAGGAGCTTCCTCAAGCATATACTTATGCAGAGAATCACTTTCAACCATCTCCAAAACGTTCAAGCTACAGACCCATTCAAGCGTAGATTACAGAAAGTATAAGCTAAGCAAACTAGAGATAAGCAACTATTAAAACTTCACAACTGTCATCTGATAATAGTAAATCGAACCATATTGCTAAATAGAAT